TCCGAAAGTAGCTGTCTTCTGAGATGCTCGTTCAATGCTTCAGGTGCAGCACCAACGTTTCCTGTGAAATGCGGTAACCGACGTTGTTAGAAGTCCACTTTCCTTCTCGTATAGACACAGATATGATCCAATCTTGAAACTGCATCGAAAGTCAGGGAAAACCGGGTGAACCCCGTACGAAAAGATCCATTCTTGAAGGATTTTATCCTCTGAACTCTTTTGGGTACTATCTTTGAAAGGTCCATTGAATGTTGATTGGAATCGGGTATTGATTTTGATTATTTTTATATCATTTAGTGTCTCTTGATAAATCGATTTGATGAAAATATCCTTGTTCAGTACTCTAACGAAAAAATTGCGCTCTGAGTTTGAAAAGCTCAGCTCTGGTTGTGAAACAAACCAGTGGTGTTGGAACATGATCATGATGTTGACACAGTATGACATTTCCTAGATGCTTGTCTGGTCAATTCGTTGAGAGTGAAATTTTTTTAATATATTTTCGAAGGCTGTCTCTTCGGCTGACTCAGAAAAAATGGTATAATTTTAATTATTGTCGTTTTTGATGGAAAAATACTTCCATTGTTGATCAAGACTTCAAGAGTGACGCATGGGCTTTATTGAATTATCTTTCACTTTGAGGAGTTCTTTCCTGTACATTATGCATTTCTCAGTAAAGATTTGTTCTATTCAAAAGGATGCAACAATAATGGGATTTAATATTCAGCGAGATTGCCTTCATGTGATGTATTTTCATAAGTTCATAACTGAATCATGGGATCCCAGGACATAGCATTCTTAAATTTGAGTTTGTGTATTGAGCCATGGAGTACAAAATATACCCATTTTTGGCAGTATGATCATTAAATCAAAGCGCTTTTCACAGGCATTTGAAAAGCTGATGGAAGACGCAGATGAAGCCAGGGCACACGCAACAGAGAAAATTGCAGGAAGAACGATGCTCCTTTTGGCAGCTGCAAATGGCAGGGTTCTGATGTTCAACAAGCTTCTCGAATTCGCGGACATCCGTGACGTTGACGATAACCAATTCACATGCCTTCACTGGGCCGCCTATCATGGGAACCCTGGGATAATTCAAACCATTTTGAATAATCGCGACTCTTCTCAAATTCTGAACTTAAAGAACGACGCTGGACTTACACCTTTGTTGCTTTTAATGAAGAAGCAAGGCAGAGGAACTGAAGAGGATTACGAGAAGTCGTTGGACTTGTTGTTGAGAATTAACTCTGTCAACGTGAATGTGCAAGATGACCAAGGACGAACTGCTTTGCACTGTGCTGTCGACGTTTGGAACAATGCTATAGTCTTGAAGTTACTCAAGAGAGGAGCGAAGATGTGGATAATGGATAGAGATGGGGAGGTTCCATTGTCTAAAATTCCTCCCCAGTTGCTCACAGTGAGTGAACTTATTTGGAAGTTTTTAAATTCCAGTATCAGTCACGAATCTAGTAAATATGTAACAGCCGGGGTGCAAAACTTCAAATGTGTCAGCTGTTCTGCATGGCTTGAACCTTTTCCTCAGTGGAAAGGAGTTTGTGATTCTTCTATAAAATAAAGCGCTGGAAAATAATTGGGTAATGCACGTAGACTCTCTACAACGATTTTCTCTGTACAGTACAATATAACTCATTCTCTTTGTCGCATAGGGTTCTAACCCCATGTTGTAAGGGTAATCTGCAAAAGAATTCTCTCTACAACTAATTTTTTTTCTTGTCCGGTGAATTTTGTGGAGGGAGTCCACCTTAACTGATGTGAAGGGTATTCGCTTAGTGCAGCTGTTGAAAATATAGCTGAATATTCGTGTGCGAGTCACGGAGAAATCTTGATGAGGAACAATGTCGAACGGAGTTGGAAGAAAGATCTAGAGGAATTCTTGGAACTTTGTACGGAAACTCGCGCTAGATGGAATTCCGTAAACGCTTTCTGGTCAATTTTTTTTTAAATGAACGTCGAATTTGTTATAATCAACAGAAGTGATAGATTTTATATCCCGCCAATTGGAAGATTCGTTTAATGTGTTCGTGATTTGCCGAGCTTATTTAAATGATCGTGAGCTGAAAATCATGTTTTTCATTTGGTAGGGATCTCTTCGGGTTCACGTGAAACTGAGTGCCAAGTGAGATGAAAATACCGATGTGGAATTTTTAAATGGGCCTCAAGTTTTTGTCGATTTTAATGGGTAGAATTCGGAAGTTTTGCAGTAACCAACTCATTTTGACACGTTTTTGCAGACGTATTTCGACGACCACTGCATCAACGTGACCAACAGCAGCAAGTATGGAATGGAAGACTTCGAGCTGAGTCTGAACTACTCCTTTTTGTTGCCCAAGAATGAAGAACTCCCGAGTCCCGAGACATCTTGCTTGTGGTGGATAACTCAAAATCCAACACATCTGGACCTTTTGAGGCACCCAGTCCTCAGGCTCTTTTTGCACTTTAAGTGGCAGAAGATATCCAAAGTCTTCGCTCTGCACTGCAGTTTGTATGCCATTTACCTGGCCTTTCTATTCGTATATTTAGTATGGGGAGCGTTTCCTGTCATTTTGAAAGCTGAGCATTCGCCTGAGGAACCTGTGGATTGTTTCAAGGTTGATAATTTTTGAGAAATTCATTAATTTTGCACAAATCTGACTGACTTTGCTCTTTGTAGGTGAGCTTGACGTACAATGGTTCGACTCATGATTTGCAGAATGCCGCTTGCGAAATCGCCAAGACGGAAGAGAATGTCAATAAAGTGGAAAACTACTTGGAACTTCTTTCGCCAACCTGGAACGTTGTCAGAGTTATCTTGATAGTTCTGAATACGCTTGTTTTGCTTTTGGAATTCATGCAGTTCTTGGTCAGTCCTTTCAGATACATCTTCTGCTCCTTGGTCAACATTTTAGAATTGGCCATGGTACTATCGGTTTATGCGTTCCTGTGGAATGGTGACGTCAATGTTGGGAGGTTGACTGGGGTTTCATCCTTGCTGTTGTCTCTGACGGAATTTACCAGAATATTCGGTCAAATGCCTGTTATTTCAACTTACGTGAAAATGTTCACAACTATTGCCGGGAAGTTCCTCAAGTTCTTCCTGTGGTACGTTGTTCTGGTAGTAGTTTATTCTTTTAGCTTTCTGCTCTTGTTCCATCCCAGCAGTGAGTTCAGTTCCCCGTTGGGGTCGTTGATGAAAACTGTTGCTATGTTGACCGGAGAATTTGGATTTGAGAATTTACCGTTTGACCAGTACTCCATTGTGAGCCAGTTGACCTTTGTATCTTTTGTATTCTTCGTGACAATTGTTCTCCTTAACTTACTGACTGGTTTGGCAGTGGGCGAAACTCAGAGAATCCAGGAGAAAGCGGAACTCATGGGATACATGTCGCAGATCAAATTGTGCTTTTACATTGAGTCGATGCTACTGAGGGATCCTGATGGAATCTTAGGAATGTTTGACATGAGGAAGAAACTGATAAAATTCACGAATGCATTGTGCTTGCTGAAAGTTTCGAAGGTGCTGTCTAAATCGAGACGTCAGATGAAGATGAGAGAGAAAGGGTGGTTGGATAGTTGCCCTATTCTTGGGCGTATTCTGCAAAAAATTGGCAGCTCTAATGCAGTGCTGAAACCTCTCTCTGTGAATTCGGAGAATGACTTGCTACAACTCAAGATTCAGGATGGCCCCTTTCAGAGGGTGAACTCGGAATCCTCCGAGGACATCGCCATTTTTGATGCGAAAATAACTTTACGTCCCTTTGAGGACTTGGCGTGTAGGGTGAGTGAGCCGTATGATACGCTTGCTTTGGTGGATGAGGAAGCTGAAAACTTGAACGAATACGTCAAACAGAATATCTTAGGTTCTGAAGAGGAGACGGATTCTTTGGAAGAATTGAAGACAACGATTCAAGAACTTAACCGAAAACTCGATAATCTCATTGCCAAACAGCTTGCTGTGTGAAACTATGCACAATCTCACATTCCGTTCACTGAATCTGCGCTTTTGTGCCTTTGAAATATAATTGTTCACACTAATACCGTACTGCTCCGAATTTTTTCTTGGTGTCTAGAGAATTCCTGGGTCGCATTGACTAGACACATTTTTAGATCATGCATTTCGATTTCAGAGAATGGAGACATTTCGAACCAGTCAGATACCACATAGCACTTCATCGGTCCTATACGAAGAAAAAACGCCTGGACTTTCCTGAGATAAAATTTGCTGCGCGTCGTTCAGTTCTTCTCACATTCAACCTAGAATTATTCTTGTTGCATCTGTTATTTCACAGTACCAGATTGGAACCGAATTTGAAAGGAAACTAAAACAAGACCTAAGATCTCCATTCCCCATGCCAGTGCTTGAAAATACAGTTAAACCTCTGTAAGATGAACTTCACCCTACCAGGGAAGCAAATTAATATCCGGGAAGAAAGTGCTTCTGTTGGGGAAGTTGAGTGTTACACAGAGTTGTTACGGGGGATATTCTCAACTTCAGATAGCTTATGAAATGAGTTTAAAGGATGCTGAAATTTGAGGCAAGGGTGCAATTTTTCAATTTATCTCTCACTTCCTTTCAACATGCATTATCAAGTTTAAAATGGTTCTTTTTTTGAGTGAAAAATAATTACCAAAAAGCCTCTGGGTTCTTCAAGTTATGGAGGTATGAGTGGGAAGGCTTTTGCATTTGGAAGGTTCCTCATGCATTGTTCCTAAAGGAAGTCATATAGAGACATGAAAGAAAATTAATGAGGCGGTGCATGATCCTGGGCTTTGATCATACATTGACATTCAAGTTTATTTCATTGGGAGGTCTTGCCAGTGCCAGCCTGACGAACACACGCACACAATATTACACAGTACTGCAATAATCACATGCCCATTTTCCTCCTGTGCTCTTATCAATTTTCAACTGTCCTCATCACACCTTTTCTAGTGATGTGCAGTCCTTCATAAATAACTCCTCAGACTCATTACAGAAAGACACGGTGACAGAAAACGATTCAACATTTTCCCTTCAGAAAAAATTTGTGTTCCACATTCCCATCAAATATAACACAGCTACAAGTGCAGCCCAACCTTTGGTCGACGAACGGGCAAAAAATTAGCACTCACTCAAGTTCCTTCGCAATACAGCCATAAAAAACATTGAACAAACTTGACAAGCGACAAACACTGGGCAGATCAGATATGCCATTGTACGAGAAATTGAGGAATGAATCAACTAACTGGAGAAAGAATGCTAGACGAAGACCGAGTTAAAGTCAGTTAGACGTTGTGTTGCTTCAAGTAAGTGGCAAGCTTTGATGGAAAGTCAGTCATGACTCCATCCACACGCAGTTCGTTAAATGCTCTGTCCCACTCAATTGGGTCATTCAGCACCCACAGGTACACCTGGAAACAGAAAATGTTCGACATTTCCTGGTTAGATGTACACATGTAAACCATATTTTCGATTACACAAGTTTAAGACCTTAATCGTTTTTTACACGGTTATGAAGTGTTCATATTCCACCTCATCACGGCTTAATTTCTTCACGTTAGAGAATGACCACAGAAGAGTCTAGTGCCTTGCTACGCCAATTTTCTCAAGTTTTGGACGAATCTGAATGAGATGATGGGTTAGCAGACATATAGAACAATATGAGCTTCCTTTAATTAGCTAAGAGAATTTTGCCATATGAAACGACGTGGATAAAAAAAAACGCGATCTTTATTTCACACCAACTCACCGGTATTCCACGTTTCTGGAGATGTTCGAACAGGCTTCTCCTCATTAATAACTTATCCATGAGGGCCACAATAAATCTTTGCTTCTTGGACGGGTTAGGCATGAAGTGAAAGAAGCAATGGGGCATCGGAATTTCCAAGTGGGTCTCCCTTATTGGGAAGTATGGCAGCAGACCGCAATAAAACAGAATTACAATCTGCACCACCCGTCGCATGGAGAACAACAGCCCGATTGATGGATTCTGGAACCCAAAAACAGTAGAGCTCAACCTGAAATCATTTCCACGAGGCACTTACGACACTGTAACACTTCTCGGTAACTTTAGACGACGTGTTTCCCCATACGGTGAGCTTTTCTCGCTTGAACTGTGCGATCAAGTCAGCCGTCGTCGCAATAAGCACATCATTGTCAACTTTGATATCAACGTTGATCGGTACGTCTGGAAACTCCTCGAACACGTCTTTCAGGCGTGGGATTGTCCGATTCTCGGAATCCTCCATCACAACACCTTTAACGAAACGTTTAGTCCCGCAACTAAGATAAAGCCCAATCTGACAACACCTCTTGCGAAAGACACGTCAAGTTCTCGCTTCAACACCGGTAATTCCTCGTACCGCAGTTCACTTATTAAACAGTTCATCCCAGTCAGGCGCAGAAGATTGTCATCGTGAATAACGACCACTTGGTTGTCTTTCGTGAGATGCACGTCCAGTTCAAGGAGCTCTGTTCCAGCACTCACCGCTCTGAACAAAAATAAACTTCCGACACTTCAACCAACAGGAAGATGCGATCGTTCCTTACCTTCTGTATGCATCGATGGTGTTTTCTGTGCATTCACCAGCTCCTGGAGTACAGAGATATTTTTATCAAGTTGTAACAGGCAAAAAACGAAGGGCGTACCACCACGATGGCTGATATGCCGTGCAGCGAAGCGATGTTCTTTCTTCCTATGGAGAATTCCGGGGCTTCGGAGGAGGACGAAAGAAGATAGGACGTATCCGCCGATAGCTGCAGCGAAGAACATGATGAAAATATTTGCGACGCTCGCATCTTGATCGCCCGAGTGGCTCATGGACGAGCGCGCATCCATAGCGCAACTCATGGACTCGAGCTCGTCGCACATCATCACAGAGCTCAGGGCTCAGATCCTATTTTAATCCTCCCCTCAAATAACAAAGCTGCAAGTCCTGTATGTATTACACAGGTCTGTATATACTGTACTTCATTAGCCTACCTCACATTAATCATACGTGCAAGTTTCACGAACACTGCAAATTGATCCCAAGATAAATGTCTATACTGCAGTTCATCTCGCACGATTAATTAAACTACATTACAGTGCTCATCTTCCGATTATTTCTTAATTGGCAGGGACAACTTTGTCATTTCCATGCAAAAAGAAGAAATAAATAAAAAGTAATAAATACATCCACATTCAAATAACCAGATCAACCACGGAGATGTGCACTGTGAGGATTATACCGGTACTACAAGGTTTGGGGCATGTTTACTTCTCCAGCATAAGCATATCAGTATTCTATACATTCTGGCTGGAAGATATAGCACAATTCCTAAGATTGAAAAATATTTTCTCGCGGTAAATTGATTTTCAATAGTTCAAATAATCCTTTCAGCATTAGGTAAATGTAAAAATTATCGCAGAAATCTCAAACATGCAGTTGCTTCCCTGCAAATTATCCAAACAACAGCCAAAAGCCAAGGGCAAAAGATGCTAATTTTAAGGTGCCATGACCCATACAGGGGGCATCAGGCATTTAAATTCCAGTGAAAGAATTAATTCTTCGTATTCATTTTATACCCTTCAATCTCAGTTTCTTTGTTTGCAAACTAAATGGGCTCCTCTTAGCAGCATTTTATTGTTCATAAAATTTTTTCTAGGATTTTTTCAGCAAGCGCAAGTTTGTTAACAGGAGGTGCGTGACGAGCAGGCGGGTCAGCACTTCGTAAGATTTTATTGTCTTGAAAAGATCTGAATGGCTTGCATTAGACTACTGTATACTATTAGAGTATTTCAATATTCACTATGGTATCACTTCATCTTCATCCAGCACTGCTGATGGAAGGTTCTAATTGTTACGGATAATGTATACAGAATGACTCTTTCAACAAGTTATTTTCCAGTTGTTCATGGTTCCAATGGCTGTTTTTTAATGGTACGCAATGCATTTCACGGAGTCAGTCAGCATTCATGACTAATACAGCACAGGTAGAAAATATACCCTCATATTTGCGGCTATATACAATATATTTATTCAAGGACCACATGTCCAGAGTGTAGTCCAAAAGCCCCCTAGGTCAAAATCCCCCCTGGAAAGACCCCCTGCCAAAAGCTCCCATTGGTGCAAAAATTGGGGATTACAGGTCTTCTTGTAACTCTTGATGGCAAACTGCACCTTTCACCAGCAGGCCCAGCACAAGACCAAGTACCAATATGTTTGTAAGTTGAGTATATAAAGGGATTTCTCACCTGCAGTGGTCATCAGTGATTCTTTGAATGTCAAAGCATCATCACTTGCTGACTTCTGCAAAATCTACCATTCACCTTGTTGATCCAATGGCTAGTGCACTTCAGATCATCAAAAATCAGAAGGGTGGTGAAAAGGCATACTAAAATGGCTATTTATTCATGGTTAAGAGCACAAATGCCAGTACTAGGTGCTAGAAATGTGCTAATGAAGAAGGAGATGAGATAAGAGGGCCACATTGAGAAGAAAATGACATTGAGAGCATCAGTGACACTGAGAAAGAGGCTGCAGAAGGCAATTTTGAAGATGATTATTTAACAGTCATTTTTGAGGACTAATGAAACCAAGCAGCGGCTTTTGGCAGGGGGGGGGGCTTTTGGTTGGGTATCCATGCCCCAGAGTACAATAATATGCACAGCACTTGGGGTTTTCAGTCTATAATTTGGCTCTAATTGTATCCCATCAGAGTTACGCATGCCCCATTATTTAGTGACTTTCTAAACATGCAATATTTAAAAAGAAGCAATCACCTAAATTTATATTTAGACATGAATTGAACCTGAATTCAATTAAATTTTAATTGTTTATATAAAATTGATTTTTCTCATCAAACTGCTCCCAAATTTAACATTAGAATCAAGCATGATATGCACACCCAAACTTCTAGAACTTTCTGAAAATTTTATTCCTGACATAGTGATTCACGCCATCTTTTTCTCTAAATTTTGAAAAAGAGATACACGTATAGCGCTTGAGTATAAAATGTTTCAGGTCTTTAAAGTAAATCACCAAAAAATATTAACATGAAATTTATGTTCAGAGATCAGTAGCATCTTCAATCCCAGTTCAAAATATTCTTAAAACTTTGTTATATGCATATACAGACAATAGAAATACAGTATAAACAGTTATGTTCTTTTTTTCAAGTCTTCTGAGTGCTGCATGACCCAGTCTGATACACTGTGCATGAATGAAAGACAATGGGAATAAAGACAATGAGATTGAAGACAATGGAATACAGAAACAATAATGACTTTTAATCTTCTGAGTGGTGCATTATATTGAGGAGACTCAAGATGATGCACCACTCCGAAGACTTAAAAAACTCATTATTTTAGTTTCCTTCAGCCTGTCTTGTGCACGTCCACTGGCCATTAAATGACGAATGGAATAAAACAGTATGGTTGATATTAAAGCATTGGATAATCTATCTGAAAAGAATCGAAAGTTGGGTATTTTGTGTCCATATTGAGGATTGCGATTAAAATTTTTGGACAGCTTTCAATTCTAAACATTTTTGTGTTCATCCTCAATCTTTTCAGGTCTGCAGATGTGAATGGGGGTTAATTTTTTTTATGGGCAGGCATGGACATTTTTAGACTTGCAACAGGGATCCCCTTTGTTGTTAATCTCATTATTGAAGGTAACAAATTCCACCACGTTCTCAGAAGTCTCTGAGTGAATAACCCTAAAAGGATTTCTGCAGAATTTTATATTTAATTAAGCATAACACCCCCCCTTTCTATACTAATTCTTTGTTGGTTCATGAAAAATGTCATCCCATTCCACAAAAACGCAAAAATGGGAGGGATTTGAATTGAAATTTCACAACGTACGTTGTGAAATTTCATTGAGAAAAAAAAAAGAGTGCTGCTGCACTCATTTTTTGAATACTTCCTGAATGGCCCAAAGCCTTGTCCAGATTAACACTTTTGACACAAGATACATGGGGAATAAGGTAACTTGAACATGTTTTCTACTTAATTATGTTGAAAATTGAAAAACTATGGTAACTGCAGAAAACATAAGCTTATTTCTGAAGTGATGATGCAGGTTTTGGGAAGGGAAATAAATATACGCGTGAAGAAAGAAAAAATCAATTAAAAATGGGCATTTTACTGTAGATCAAAAGTATGAAAATATATAGAGAATGAACCCATTCCATTCAAATTTTGTAATGGAGCAGTTTTATTTTGTCATCTGTATTTCAGCACTTTTCTGCATATCCATAATTGTTTACTCTTGCATGGTGCAGTCGCACCCTTCTAAGTAAAATTCCAAAAGGGGCAAAAAAAATTGACAAGGAAGGTTCTGAGTTTGGGAGGTTTGACTTAAGCTTTATGAATATTTTTGTAAGAAACTTTCAAGAATTGCAGAAAATTGTAAAGGATGACATTCTGGGCCTTCAATTGATTCTTAATTGAGTCAACAGGATCCTGAAATTGGAGGCAAGGGTTCATTTGTCCAATTAGTCTTTCCCTTTCTTTTGAAACGCATCAAATTACTTGTTATTGCTTTTTTCTTTCCAGTGTCAAGCAAATACAAGTACCCAAAAGGCCTGAGGAAATTTGACTTATGGAGGTTGGAGAGGAAAAGCTTTTGCATTTGGGAGGGTTTTATTGCATTGTTTCAAAGATAATTATTTAGAGCGGGACATCAAAAAAATTGTACTCCTCATGGAGGTGTTTGACTCAGGGAGGTTTGACTTATGCTGAAGGTTCAAGCAGTGTAAAAAAAACTCCTAGGACCACCAGTTGGGGAACACTAGATAGAATACATCACTGAGAAATAAACCGAGAATAACTCTCGCCACATAAAAAAGTGGTCAGGAAAATCAAAAGCCGCCCCTTTTTTTCTCTTTGCCTCTCCGCGGCATGAATAATACATGCCCATCAGAGGAAAACAAGTCGCCACTGAGCCAGGCACCGTGGCACTGGCTCGAACATGTCGTGTCACAGGAGTCAGGATAGATAAGTGGCAGATGTTGCTGAGCAGTGAGCAGTAATTGTGAAGGCTTCTTTATTATCGCTGTGCGAGTATATCTATACGATATACATATATACAGCACAGCACCGCACTTACGGAGAAACGCATCTGCCTCGGCTAGCAGCACCAGCGAGTCCTGGAGACTGGGGTCACACAACGCAGACGTCACCCAGGACGCAGACCTTCTGCTCAATTTGAAAAACATGTCGAAAGCCTGGCGCGCTATTGGATAACGGATTAACGTTAATAATGAAATGGTCCCTCGAGGCCGGGTTGAACCATGCTTCGTGCGCGGCACCAAATGACTCTTTTTCCTGACTGTAGACCTGCTTTGCGTTTTCGAACGGAAGTTCCTTGAATGCTCTACTGCGATAGTTCAAAGACGGTCTTCAACGCTTGTGAAGGTCGCATTCAGACGACGCTTGTTATGTGCTGATGAATTCTGCAGTGAGACGCAAATGCAGCGTTCATTCGAAGGTTTCGACAATGAGATTGTCCACAAATTTCGTGTACGTTTTCAGCATGCTTTTCGATTGGATTTCAAAAAGTCACGCGCAATTTTTCTGACGGAAGTACGATTTTTTCGTTGTTCAGGAATCCTTATTAATTAATATTTGTGAGAAAAAGAGATGTCGAATAGACAAACTCACAAAGCTGAAAAATGCAATATAGAATGGATTGAAAGTTAGAAAAGAGAAGTGATTGAATTGAAGATAAGAATTGAAGTTCTTTTTCGCGAGAGCGAAGTGTTAGATGTATAAATATGGGCTAAGTAAATCAGCTGGGACAAAGTCCGAGTTTGAACAAGTTGTATTTCGTTTTGATGATAAACACTTGGTCAGAATTTCGGAATTCGGAGTTTTGCGAGACGAAAAAGCTTCTCTGCTCGGAGATCTGCTCAGGTTCACAATTTGAATGCGAGTGATGAAAATCATGCTGAATTTGGAGAACAGGAAAAGAGTTGCTGAAGGACGCGGATTATACCAGGGAGCTCCGGCCCAACTTGGTACGAAGCACGCGCCGTGGTTTACTGAGAAAAAGGACTGACATCTGGACGAAACGCAAAAGCTTGCCTTCAAGGAACTTACGAGATGACGCTATCAAGTTTCCCGGTCTTCAACGCTTGTGAAGGTCGCATTCAGACGACGCTTGTTATGTGCTGATGAATTCTGCAGTGAGACGCAAATGCAGCGTTCATTCGAAGGTTTCGACAATGAGATTGTCCACAAATTTTGTGTACGTTTTCAGCATGCTTTTCGATTGGATTTCAAAAAGTCACGCGCAATTTTTCTGACGGAAGTACGATTTTTTCGTTGTTCAGGAATCCTTATTAATTAATATTTTTTGCAGCTCGCAATTCAAAACGATCCGAAATATTCGAACTGTAGAAATATAAATCTAGAGGTCAATATAAAATTGCAGGGTAGGAAAATATGTATCAAAATTTACTGCATCGCTCAAATCAAACATTATTAAATTATTTTCAAGTTTTTTCCAGAAAAATTCTTGTACATTTGAAAGATTGAAGAGTGATGGGACAACATTTTGAGTTCTTATGAATTCAAACAACGCAGTTATACTTCTGGGATGGTGACAAAAATGCTTGAAGCATGATTGTACAGTGAGACCCCAAGATGCGGACATAATTGGTGCATCAAGAGTGTCCCCAAGTTGAAATGTCCCTAAGTCGATCAAGTCTTGTTTTCCCATAGACTTACATTGTATAATTTTTAATTGGTGTTTTGTGGAAGGAATTTTCTTCAGAATTCCCTGGAAAAAATTGTTTGCCACTTGAATTTGAATTAGTGAATGCATTTTCAACTCAATAAGAATGTTTGGAGCATTGAATAGTGCATCTCTGTACTGTACAATGAAATATTGGCATCTACAAAAATAACATTCAAGTGAAAAAAGTAGANATTTTTAATTAGCTAACTGGATGGTAATTTGGTGATAGAAATGCCCAAGAACTTTTCTTACATCAATTTTAGGGTTGGAAATATCTGTTTCTTGTAATTTGGCCTGAAATTTATTTGCAATTTTATCACAAAGTGTCTTTATGTTGAGTCAGTGTCCTCATGTTGGGCCTTATTTATTGAGTTTTTTTGGGAAAATAAGTGTCCCTATGTTGAATTGTCCACAGGTCAAGGCATCCGCATGTCAGGGTCTCACTGTATAATGCTAATAGTGAACTCTTTCTATAATGAAATTCAGGGGACCCAGAAAATCCATTGTAGAGAGAATTTTCTTCTATATAGAGAACTCTAATGATGGTATAAAATTTCCTGGAGTACACATACAGAAAAACCCTAATGGGACCAACCTAAAATTGGTTAAACTAAGATAATCATTGTAGACGAAGTCCTTGTGGGGAGAGTCTAGCTGTGCAAGACTACAGCAGTGTATTATAATTTCAGCTTTATGACTCATGGCAATATCCAACCCAATTTTTGTTATTTCTTATATAATGTACTTCACATATGCTCTTCAAAATGAGCTGAAGGATTATTGTGTGCCATTCTTGTATATGCTCTAACAAATTTATAAAATCAAATCAAGGTCAGTTTCAGAAGATATTCAGACAATTTAATAATTGTCACGCAGTCTCAAATACTGTATATCAGGTATGTCAATAGAAAAATGTTTATATACCTAGGGTGGCCATGCTGCATATCAAAACTGAATCAATTATTACAATAATGTAATGCAAAAGCCAAATGCAAAATAAGACTCAATTAAAGATGTTTTACATTTAAACTGTATCTTATGTAAATACTGGTCAGTCTCCCCAGCAAATAATTTGTTACAGGTATTGCTGCGCATAACAGTTACTCATTAAAAAATGCATTTGTTATGCATCACTGTTATGCCCAGCTTCTTCTGAAACGCCTTTCTTTTTTTTCTTTGTTGCTGTACTGAAAGTTTTTTCTGAAATGCATTCAGAATGCGTTTCTAATGCATTCTGTAGTTACACCTATACTTTAAACATTTTTGATGAGCTTTTCTTGAGTGTAGCAGATTTTCCTGGGTGTAACATGGAGTGTTTTAAAACACTCTGTGTTACAACCAGGGAAAATCTGAAATAATCAGTTTTTAGCATTGTAACAGAAAGGTGTTTTAAAATGCCTGTCTGTTACAACCAAGGGAAATCTGTAGAAATCAGTTTTTAGCATTGTAACAGACAGGCATTTTAAAACGCCTGTCTGATACAAAGCCAAAAACTGTTCATTTCAGCTTTTCCTTTGTTGTAGCATGAGTATTTTGTAACACCAGCCTGTTACATTCTTTAAAAATTATTCTTTATTTTCAACAGTATTTTTAACATCAAAATTTATATTTTGTGGTTTTGTATAATTGCGAAAAACTGATGCGACAAACATAAAAATCTGCAACATTGTGTTTGTTGCATCAGTTTGTTGCACCAGTTTGTTGCAGCGCAGATCCAGGGGTCCAGATCCGCGATGTTGTATTATAAAATACCAAAATCTGTGACTGGCTGCGGTATTACTACCGCAGCCAATCATAGAAACTGAGGTATTTTACTTTACTGCAGCATGGATCCAGACTGCTGGATCTGCCCTGCAATGCTGTGATTGGCCGCGGTAATAATACCGCAGCCAATCACACGCCAGTATAATACCACTGGTTTTATACTGGTGGTAGAAAAAAACTGTAGGGTAGAGAACCCCGCATACCACAGGGTTTTCTACCCTACAGTTTTTTTCTACTGCCATTATAAAACCAGTCGTATTATACTGGCGTGTGATTGGCTGCGGTATTATTACCGCAGCCAATCACAGCATTGCAGCGCGGATCCAGCAGTCTGGATCCACGCTGCAGTAAAGTAAAATACTGCAGTTTCTATGATTGGCTGTGGTAGTAATACCGCAGCCAGTCACAGATTTTGGTATTTTATAATATCACATCTAGATCTGGACCCCTGGATCTGTGCTGCAACAAACTGGTGCAACAAACTGATGCAACAAACACAATGTTGCAGATTTTTATGTTTGTTGCATCAGTTTGTCGCAATTATACAAAACCACAAAATATAAATTTTGATGTTAAAAATACTGTTGAAAATAAAGAATAATTTTTAAAGGAAGTAACAGGCTGGTGTTACAAAATACTCCATGCTACAATGAAGGAAAAGCTGTAATGAACAGTTTTTGAGACTGTAACAGACAGGCATTTTAAAATGCCTATCTGTTACAATCCCAAAAACTGTTTATTTCAGACATATAATACCATCTGGCACATAATACCTAGTATTACTACGGGACCATAATAATGACTCAATAATAGTGGAGTCATTATTATGGTTCCATACCACCGCGTCAACTATACTGAAACCCGAGTCCTTACAAACAAACTTCAAACTTAGGGTTCTCCCCGTCAAATTTATTCATTTATTTCCCTGTCAGTGTGTGTGTGTGTGCATGTGTGTGTGTGTGTGTGTGTGTATATTGTGTCCATTGTGCATAATGAGTCCAGTCTGTCTTGGTGAGAATATTTTTTTGTGGTTTTCTTTGTAACAATTTCCTGTTTAAAAATGCATATCAAATGCGTTTCTGCATTATAATCAATCCTATCCAGGTGTAACTTGAGTTATGCCTGGATAAATACCTAGCTGTAACTAGAGGGTGTTTCAAAACACCTATAAGGTACGCATTAAATAAAATCCCGAGTAGGCATAACATAGAGAGGTACAAAATGCGTAGCATTTTTGGCTAGAAATGCGTTTAAAACGCATTTCAAAACGCCCAAATTATTTGCTGGGTCTGTATATAGAAGCCAGCCTCTATTGAGTGCAGGGAGAAAATCTAATTTTTTGGAAAAATGCCAGGGACCTCTACTTGTAGAGTATCTGATGTAAATTCACCCTTGCTTTGAAGTCATATCAGTTCAATTACCCAGCACATTGAGGCCCAAGCTCACAAATTTCGGCCGCCTGAAATTGTTGAAAAATGCTTCAACAAAAAGGCTAATTTTCAACTTCTTATGCTACCAAGTGTACTTTTCTGGGTTCCTCTATAAATACAGCATTTACCAACTCCATTTTTAATTTTGGACCTATATTCCTGAAGAAGATTTGATACAAATAAATTTTCCTCCACAGTTCTCTGTAAACTGGTTTTATTTGCTCCCACAATTCAAGCAATGCTGAGCAAGAAATCCATAAGGCTGCCTACTCTTGTCATCAAGATGGCCTCTCCCTTGATACACTTTTTCTTCTGACTACTTCCAACCCTGGATCCTATGGCTAAGACAAAGTGACTATTGGGAAGTGCTGAGAAGAACAGCTTGGGTTTGAATGGCATTGGAGGTTTTGCAAACCTTTTTTTGAGTTCCTTCTCTTCCGGAACCATGTCTTCAATTGTATTAATGATGTTTTCCAAATCATCGCGAATTTTTTCGGCTCCTGGGGTTTCAAAAAGTATTTTCAGCAACTTGTGGATCCCAGAAGGCTCCAGCAACGAAATCGTTGCAAAACGCTTATTCTGATAGTTCAGCTCATTTTCTTCAACGTCGGCGTCTTCGTAGTCATCAAGCTCGGCATCAGCAGCTGCAGCTCCATCTACGTCATCGTCAGTTTTGTGAAAATTTGCCAACAGGTTGTCAACTTTTTCAAGGATTTGTTTCGTGGATGAATCTGTTTCGGAAAACTTCTGTAACTTAGTAATCAGCTTCTGGATGATGAGATTCTGAAGAACTTGAAGCTGGTTCATTGGTAAACCATTGAGCATCTTCAAAACGTCGTCATTTACCCATGGTGTACGCATAGGTTTAACGCCTGCTGGGGGCATTGGTGGAGGTGGTGGAGGAGGTCTGATGGGGCCGCTGGGAAGTTGCAGATAAGGCATATGTTATTATCATGCATGAAAAAAAATTATAATTTTTTTTATGAACAGCCAAAGCAGACTTGACTGACCAGACTAATAATGTACTACAGCAGGGGGCCCTTGAGCAACAAAAATCTTGATCAGAAAACATCGCTGATGCATAAAACCTGTGTTTGGCCGCCATTTTTCTTCGATCACCAAACTTTGTTTGAGGGATGAATCTCGACTCTCGAGTGAAAAATAAAATAAACAAAAAATCACCGAACGGTTCTTTGATAAAAATTATGAAAATTTAAAAAAAAATTATATGGTTGAACCTTGATAACTCAAACATTCCCAAGTCAAATATCTCCCTGATTTTAATTTTTTTCAAGTCCCCATCTTAATTCACTGGGGAACAATGCATTAAAAATCTCCCAACTTTAAGGCCTTTCCTCTCATACCTCTGTAATAACTCAATATTCTGAAAGCCTCTCCATTATATTTTTATTGACACAGGAAAGAGAAAATCAATTTACAGTAAATTTAACTCAAAGTGCTTTGAGAGAAAATGAAAGACCAAGTTAGCAAATGAACTCTTGCCTTCAACTTCAGCATAATCTTATTTTGAACTCATTCAAGAAGCAATGTAAGGCATATAATATCACCAATTGCAATCTCCTGCGTAATTATTTTTTCTTTCATTCTGCAAAAATCATGCTAGTTTTCCTAACTTAGAATCTCCCTAGCTTGAATTTTTTGCTGGTCCCTTATTGAAGGTTGACTTGAAAATGCAACTGCTTGACATTATATTCCCAAATGGGAAGGTAAAATTGGAATACCGTGAGACCCCCACATGCAGACAACCTGCAGACAATTTGACATAGGGACACTAATTTTCCCAGAAAAAAATTAATAAATCAGGCCTAACATGAGGACACTGACTCAACATAGGGACATTTTGTGATAAAATTACAAATAAATTTCAGGCCCAATTACAAGGAACAGATATTTCCAACCCTAAAATTTATGTAAGAAAAGTTCTTGGGCATTTCTCTCACCAAATTACCAGCCATTTAGCTAATTTTAAAAAATTACCTCCAGCATAAAGGGACTTCTACTTTTCTTTCCCTTGAATGTTATTTTTGTAGATGCCAAAATTTCATTGTACAGTACAGAGATACACTATTCAATGCTCCAAATGTTCTTATTCAGTTGAAAATGTTTTCACCAATTCAAATTCAAGTGGAAATTAATTTTTTCAGTTAATTCTGAAGAATATTTCTTCCATAAAAAACCAATTAATAATAACAAGACTCAACTTAGGGACATTTCGACTTGGGGACACTCTTGATGCATGAATTATGTCCACATCTTGGGGTCTCACTGTACAAGCAAGAATTCAGATTAGCAGTTTTGATGATAATATTTTTCTTAGACAGGATGTAGTAATTTACAGCCCATTTGGAAGTACAAAATTATAGTGAGTCTATTATTCTTATATGCTTTTATTGTTGTTCTATTATTCTTTTTGTCAACTCTGTTTTTGTTCATTTATTTTACTTCACCAAAATTTCATTTTACGCAGGAACCTATAGCACCTAATTTCTCAAGAAACTTATGGGATATTATTGGCTGATGTAGGGGGTTTTTGCCCAAGGTCCCACTCCATAAATTTTGAAAAGCACATGACTGCATCAGCAATTTTAACATGAGCGATTATAATTTGGTCACGCTTCAATGCCTTTTGTATGAACACTTTGCAAAAATGAATGACGAACAAGTATTGTCTTACTGTAATTTGAGTATTGGTCTCTACATACTTGAGCTCACCCCTGCATTTTTACGTCATTTATCAAACGTTTCTGAATATCCTCTTGTCTTCGGACAGGAGCAATACGGTTTGGATGACGCCATTGCTGCTGATGAACCTTTGTTGAAAAAGACAAAACTCAATCAAGATGTCATCCATATAACGACAACAAGTTCACTCACCGTCCTTTGACAGACCAACACCGGAGACATGTCATGCAAGCAGGTGTCTGATTCTGCATTGAACTCAATGCAAATCTTAGTATCCATGTTGTGATGCTTGCACTTCTTGCTGAAGGCCACGTTGACATCTAGCTTGATCAGTTTGTTCCCAGATTCAGAGGTAGACCATCCCATGATGTAACAAGGCGACCAAAAGAAGTCCCCAGGTGGAGGAAGACAAATTGGGGCAAAGTCCATGGTTGGGTCAGCACTGGCTGGGGGTTGCCTTTGGTGCCTATGGTGGTGCGTGGCAAATGTGAAGATGGCAGCATTGCTGTCAAATGCATAGTGAGTGTGAACATCAATCAAAGTGAGACCCTTTTGCACTAGAGTTGATGGTGTGATTTCACCCTCTGAGTGGATCCCTGGTAGCGCCTTGATGTTGGACACATGCCCAGGTGGGATCCTTTCAGCACACTCAGCAGTGGCCAGCATGTGGTGATGGTGGTGTTGGTCCCCACCAATGTGGATCCCTGAGCACATGAACATGCGACTTCCATTGCTGGCAACATAGTAAATGGACATGTGCCATGGGAAGAGTTCAGGATTGGCTTGAAACCTGTTGCAGTCAGTCTCACCATCCTCAGAGTCTAAACCATCATCCCTTCCAAACCTAGCCCAAATGTCCCTTTTTGACTGAGTGGCCTCAGGAGAAACAGAAACACCACAAACAGCTGGTCTCTGGGCTTGTGGTTTGAATTGAGGAGGAGGGCCCCAGATTCCTGGGGGCCTGAAAAGAGGGTCTGCTGCTGGTTGTTGATTTCTTGGAAAGTCTAAAAGCTTTTCCACATGGTCCACATTGCGGCCCATAGTGGGGATTATTTTAGGGTTTGTTAGGTCTCTTTGGTTGCTGTTACTCTTGGTCTTCTTCATCTTCTTGACTTTTGTCTTCAATTTTCTTGCCTTCTGCTTCACCAAAGGCTTGGCAATTTGAGGTCTTTTTTCTTCCTCATTTGGAATCATGTTCAATGATTTTGGCATGCTGGACTCCATGGAATCAAAATCTTGCTCTTGTGGTGGGGGTCTTGGGATCTGAGTGGGTGGCTCATATCTGAAGGGATCCTGGTTTGAAATCCTGGGCTCTGCTGGGGGTTTCCATGGTTCTGATTGAGCTGGTGCCACACCAGCAGGGGCCTGCTTTGGGATAACATTGTTCTCCATGGAATTAAAAGATTCGCAGTGACTCTCAGCAACCAAGAGTTTGGACTTTGAATTCAGAGGTTGGATTTCTAGGGTAACTTCCTCACAACTTGCACCTTTACACATCAGCTTTAGGTCCTCTTTGAATGGATCAAATTGCTTGGAATAATGGGAAGCTAGGGTTAGTGAGTTTGACAATGGGTTGATTTTGAAAGCTCCCTTCAGGGTGTCTGCCAAGAGCACATGCTGAGTTTGGGAACTGATTCTGATGAGGGAGCACAAGGCAGAGGTGTTTGGGGGACAAATTGTTTTTGTTATCAGGTTGAATGCTTCTGGAGGTGTCAGGCCCCTTTCCAGGACATTCACAGCCTTGACAAACTTCTGTTCTGCACATGTCCATCCCTGGTGTAAGAGCTCTTGAGAAAGTGTCGCATTTCTGTGCCAGCAAATTTCGCATTCTGGAGTCCCTCGTCTGAAAGATTTTTTGGCATTCAAATGTGGGCGCACAAAATGTATGTGTCAATGATTGAATATAGTCTGGCTCCTTTAGGTAAAATTCAAATAAGGCACCAATAGCAAAACTTGACTAAGATAAGTTTCAAGTTGGGACACTGATAGAGCAAAACATGTTTGCTGCAATTTTGGGAATGACATATTTGTGCTGGAAATATTGGCTGTCAGAACTAAAATTTCTTCTACATAAACCAGGACAAGTGCTGAATTGTTTTGTATAATTGAGACAGCACAATATGCAGCACCCCAAGCCAATATTTTGTATGTCCAAGTATACAGTAGCTCACATCCTTTCCAAAATCATTCTTCTGTTTGTTAATTGTCCTCATTCTTTTGATGAGACAAGGTTCAGATTGCATTGGTTTCAAGCGGATAGATGAAAATTTTTAGTCAGCGAGATTTTTAGCACACGAAATTTCCAGTCAATCCTTCAGAAATAGCAGAGGGTCTTCTCTGTGGCACTACAGTGGCAGGGATTTTTTTTACAGGCTAGTAAGTTTTAATTTGATCAATTGTCACCAAAAGAGAACCTGAGAAGAGTAGTCTGAGCTTGGAAATATTTGGATAAGCCAAGAGAGGAAATTTGGCAATGTCCAGCAGACCCACCAATTTTATCCAATGGCTGAAGGCTAAAAAATAGCATCAAGGATGTATTTTTAGGCTCTCTAACACCTTTTATGGACAGACAGAAAATGTTTACAAGTGCTTTATTTACTTGAGAATAATGTGCCCTCAAGTAAGGTGCGCATCAGGGGTTTTCAGTCAAAAAGTTTTATAAACTTCTCCAAGTAAGAAGAAATCAGAAGAAAGATTTAAAAGTACTGAAATTCAATGAAGAGACACTTTCTGAAATCTTAAAGGATCAAGATAAACTGCTGTTGGCCTTATATGATTTCTCATTAAAGATTCTCTCTAAATTGTTCATTCAACTAAATCTCATACAGAAGCAAGCTGAAGACCTTGTGCTTTAGATAAACTTATACTGCTAATTTGTTTTCAATGTCAGGAAATGAGTGGCTGTATGCAAACATGTCAGATGTCCAGCTTTATTTTGTGGAGTGTGTTCTTTTTTTATTTTTGTCATCAATTTGTGCTTTGTTTCCTGCTTTGAAGTGATTGAATCTCTTTGAGGGGATTTGGGTTGGGTGGGGAGGGGGTTTGGATGAGGGAGTCTTGGTTGTGCCTTGTGAATGCTGAAAATTGGCAAATAAAGTGTTCTGTTCATTCATTCATTCCAAGTAACACATGCCCCATTTTTTGTGACTTTAAACTGCATGTTTTCAAAAATCATAGCACCCAAATTTGGATTTAGACTTGATTTGATCCTGAACTTAACTAAATTTCAAGTATTTTTAGATTACAGTGAGTTTTTCTATTAACATTTGTCCAAAATTTTCTATTAGAATCAAATATAATGCATACCTAAATTTTTACCACTTTCAAAAATGTATACCCATCTATGACTCGCACCCCCTTTCTCTCTCTTAATTTTGATGAAAAGGATGCACATTGTAATAAAGTAAAAATAGTAGTTCCCAACTTAGACTATGTTTGCCAGTGCAATATTTCTTAAATTTTAAAGTGCACTCTGGTGATGAGCAATTGCTGCAAAATATCTGGGCACCGCTGCTGAAGGGTTAATAAGGTCTGACTGTACCTGCTGGTGGTCGTAGTAGGACGTTTGACCTCAAAGCAACACTCGGTGCCCACGGCATCACAATGGGCTTCGCCGAAAGAAATTTTGCACAACCCGTTCTTGGAGTCCTTGTCGCAGGGCTTCACGCTGGGAGGTCTGTCAGCTGCTGTGCTGACACACCAGGACGCAGAGGTTTCCTTATCAGAACCGACCAAGATTTCACTGATGTTCTGCTGCGACGCTCGAACCAGCATGGCGGCCATGTAGGCAAACTCTTTGTGGGTTTCCAACGTGGCCACGAGACCCCCGGCTGCATTGCACTGAAGCGGGCTGAGAATTTGATAACATCCCGCATGTGGCTGATGGTGAAACCCCGGTGGACACGGCTTCTGACATTCGTGGCTGTATACACAGGAGAAAGGGTTGGGACACGTTTTGGGGGTTTGTGCAACCACGGCTGCTGGGAGCAGAAATAGGAGTGGGACGATGGACCGCATTTCTTTGGGTTGCCCTCCCTATTCGGATTAGCTGCACTGGATTGTTGATGGTTGTATGGTGACTGAAGCCAGTTTCTGCTGAGCTGGCAACTTTTTCACCTCTGTTTCCCCAGAGCAGAACTTCCTCACATATATTGCTCCTCGGCCTCCTCCACATTCCAGAGTGATGGTACATGATGTACCCTTGCATCAGGTACTGTATGTCCCCAACATAAAAAAGTACTTTACTTGGAAGGGGAGGAAATCTGCATTACAAAAGTTTTTACATGAGGAGTCTTGTGCCAATTATTCCACATTATCAGAATTGAACTCATAGAAGACTTCAAATTCTTGCAACTAAATACAAATAAGGTGCTATCCCAAATCTAAGGTGAACAGGAAAAGTGTTACCTTCATATTATTTCTCCTCAAAGATTCTTTCTAAATTGGTCAATTAATTAACAATTATCTGGGAACAGGTTGAACACTGTGTGCTTTGATTTGCGCTCAGTAATTGCCTTGTGGTGTGATTTTTGTCATCCAAAAAAATGAGAATGGCAATTCATTATTTGTACATTGTATGTACTGTGATGTACAGTATTTTCTTTTGTGGCAAGGAGAAAAATTTTGAACTTTGCAAGTGCTGAAAATTTGGAAATAAAGCTTGTACAGGTGGTACATGGAAATTCAACCTGCAAAGAGACTCAAAGCATCAAATTTGTTGTAGAAAACATCAAATTTGACATTGTCTCGCAATTTGACCAATTCACAATTTTACCCTTACCTGGCAACAGATTAGGGTGAAATTGTAGGGCACCACCTGCATATCAATCAAAAAATAAGCAAAAGTGACACATGGAACACATTTTTAAATTATGTTTACATTTTTGATGTAGAAAATGTTATTGTAGAATTTTGTCAGAAAAAAAGCAGTTGGGACTTTAATCCCTCCAATGCAGAGCCAAAAAATATTTTCAGAATTTGTTACCATGAAACGCTAAAAATAAAAATGTAATCTGATCAGGAGAGCTAAATTCTGGAAAAGTCCAGATTTAAAAAAAATCTGTACTATGAAAACTGTTGCTGAATAAATTATTCATGGATTGCTGGCATTTTTAGCATTCCTGTCATAGGGTTAGTTTTGAGGGGTTCCAAAAACTTACTTTATTCACCTTTCCCAGATTTTTCTGGACTTGGGCTATACCCAGCCAACACTGCATTCCAGCAGTTACCTTTGGTCATATACCCTGTGTCAGTTTGCAAAAATATCTCATCTCTGCTTCAATGGATTAAAATCAACCTGCCACCTTCAAATGGTTTAAAAAAAGCTTGGTTACATAAAAAAACCTTGTTAAATTGAAACAAAAATAACATTGTTGATATTGGACAGGGCCAAAATTAATTAGTAAATAATTTGTTATGATGATATTTGTTGTAACAAGATTCCACTTTAGAAATCCATCAATTCATTTGCACTTTTTCAATATTAAAACTTTAAACTTCAATTATGTATTTATGCAAGTTCCCTGTACACCTTTTTCCTGGAAAACTGAGGCATAAAAGCAGAGTTCTTGGGGTATTTGGGCATACATTTTTTTTTTATTTAAAAAATCATGAAACCATAGTGGTGTAAGTCAAAAGTTACACTTAGCCCTTATGAGGTGGAAACTGTATGGAAAATCCATCTTGGCTCAAATCCTGGTTCAAATGCTTCTTTTTCTTTTATTTAATTTATAATTTTTATCTATATAATTTTTACTGTACAGTATTTAATTTTATAAGAACAAATTATTATTTGGGAAAAATTATTTTCAGCCAACAAATTTCATGTGATGGGAGTGACAGTGTGGTACTCATTATATATAGTACAGTACTGTAATTTACTGTACTTCAGTACTCGCGCGCGGTTGATAATAATTGCGTAAGTAAGGGCATGTACATATATCATCAGAATTTTCTCAGTATGGATTACGCATCAAGATCAAATTGGACGAGAAAAAAAGAGTAGAAAATGCTTTCCACCATCAGTTAGTTCTGTATTCAAAATCTCAGTCAATCATTTCAACTACCAAGTCTCACAAGTTCGGTGAAATACTGCTGTACTCCGCATCGACGTTGCTGTAAGCGAACTTGAAACGGCATTGGCTGCGATTTCTCCGCCTTCGCACATGAACTGTTCATGTCTCTGTTCACGTGAAAAGAGACAGACGCGAAGTCAAGCCGCCGCCGATGTTCACTGTGAAAAACAGAAATGAAAACAAAGGATTTCAAGATGTAGAGAAAACAAAATTTGGAAAGCGAAGAATATTGCGGGGGACTGACACCGAGAGCTCAGCCATGCACAATTCGCGTGACCGAGCTGCGGCGAAGTTCTCGTCGCAGTCTGCGTCATTTTAAACACTCGCTTCAATATATCATCACTGTTGCTTTTTGATTAACGAAATATTGAATTTTCGTTCCTTCGAAGTTTAATCAAATGACAAGTTTTTCCTCACCAGTGTCGAAAAACACGAGTAAATCGTGCTGCGATTTATTGTTTCTCAATCACATCTGGCTCGGCAACCACAAAATCATTATCGTGTATGGGTTCCTTTTGAGGTACTGTATATACGACAGTTACTTTTTTTCAAGTGAAAAATTGCGAGCCACGGTATTTCCATTTAGTCTTCAATGTAAGAAATCATCGATCATAAGATCCATCCTTATTTTTTTGCCCTGAAAATGAAAAAAATATTATTACTAGAAAATTTAGAAGCTCACTTTCATTTCCATGAAATTCGTAAAATTTGAAGGAGCCCATTATTTGATTCTACTCCTGATCCATTTACCAGCTTTATCTCCTCGAACATTTCTGATAGAAATGAGGAATCCGTTCTGTTGACTATACAGATACAAAACACAAAATGCTGGAGATTTGCAGGCTTTTGATTTCAAGATTCAATTTTTTTAGGACTGTGTTTAAACCGAGGAATCTACTGTAACAATACTCAGAAGCGAACTCACAATTTTTTTTCTAGATATCTATGCAAAAAAAAATTCAGTGCCTGTTCTACTCTTAATACAGGTACACATTTTTTCAATTGGTGCATATGCTACTCAAATTTCAGCATCAATTTTTGTAAAGCTGCAAGAGTAACTTTATATAAACTCATTTAAACCTTTTGACAAACAATTTACTTGGTTACTATTTGACTTGTTTTATAGCTCAAACTTTTCTCGATTCAAAAAGGAAACTTTTTAACTTTTTGATGCAGAGAAATTGGTGCATATTTGAAAAACTGTGTGCCAAAGAGACAAAAACACAAAAGAAATTGGACTGAGCAGCAAAGGACGAGAAGTCAGTCCGATTTTTTTTTTTTCTACCAGCAAAAATGTTGGTTAAAAAATGTCTCTGGGTGGCTTTTTTCTGCATTCTCATCATAGGACTAACATTAAGGTTCATGACATCAGGATATACTTCTCTTATTGTACTCAGCACTGGTACTGAGTTTTTGTGATTTTTGATCAGACAAAAATTTTCCAGTGAGAAAAAAAAGACAGTTCCGCATCACACACAGGACAGAAAGGAAACAGCAACTATATACAGGGGGTAAATTTGTATCTTTATGGATTTTAACAATTGATTTATTGATCATTGCCAAACATTGGGGTGTGCATGCTTTCTGCAAGGATACTTTGCTCTGCCAACATTTCAGGGTGTGCATCTTACTCAAAGGGTCAGTGTGGTGCTTGAGTAAATATGGTACTGTAATGCATCATCAAATATAAGGCGCGGAACAAAAATATATGTAAAGCCGTCAAATGTATATGCCACACCCTGATTTATCAAGCCAAGGGGTTTTCATATTTGAGTGGCTATGGTAGTGGTTGGCAAGGTCTATCTCAATTCTTGAAATTGTTCAGCACAACTGCCAGTTAAGATACAATTTACCCAACATTTCCCCAAAAAAGTCGTTCGGGAATGAAAAGTTGCCAGGAATCATCCGTTTTGAAAACCAGCATCCGTTGATTTTTTAAGTATTTGCACTTGCTTCACAGGATTCCTTTATTTTAACACGTTTTTATTAACTTGCTTTCTTGTCCGCTTGTTTGTCCGGATCAAATTTTGCAACTCAAATTTCACTCACTTCCCAACAAGAAGGCGCAGGACATGATGCTTTCGAAGTTCCGGATGAAATCACCCCCGGAAGCTTCCATTGCTAATCGCAGCGTGTTTTGGCACTCGGAAGACGGGTTATTGGACGAGAAACCCAATTGTTTTTTAGATTAATTTTTTAATCTACTAAATTTTTTTTTTTTTTTGAATCATCAAGAGGTATTTAGTCATGGATTTCCCGCGAGTAGCAGTGATTAGTGCCTTATTGCTATTGTGCGTGATACCATTGGGTTTCTCGTCCAATAACCCGTCTTCCGAGTGCCAAAACACGCTGCGATTAGCAATGGAAGCTTCCGGGGGTGATTTCATCCGGAACTTCGAAAGCATCATGTCCTGCGCCTTCTTGTTGGAACAACAGCGGTTGGTTTGTTTTCACATGCTCGGCATCGTTTCAAGTTATGATACAACGGTTTTTTTTCCTCCCTTTTACTGCAGAATGACCACCACCAGCAACAGCAGGCAAGCCCGGGGTAATTTGCCGTTTGAGTTTCCGGAGAAACGATGCAATTTCCCGTGTTCCACCACATTCAAGGACGTATTTCTGGTGCAAATTCCAGCCTGCGCCTCGTACGATATTCAGTGTTGTTTGTGCATAGTTGGTACAACATTCAAGACCATTTTCCCGCAAGGATCCAGCAGGCTGACTGCTTATTACAATCAATTCCAAACTCAGCTGAATGAGTTCCTTCCTTCCTTTTCCGCCTCTGAACTTTGAATGTCTCTGTTTATTGTTTTTGTGAAATAAAATTTCTGTGCGTTCGACAGACTCAAATTACAGAGCTGATATACGAAAAGACACCCATTTTACAACTCGAAGTCCGTAATTCTGGATTTTTCCCCATTATTAATGGCTCCTGCAAAAATAAATGAATTTTTCACCAAAAGTGCATGTAAAAAGGCAAAAACTGCAATGTTGGCGTCAGTATAATTCCTTACACATTGTGATATGTTCAAACAAAAGTTGTAGCTCATCCACATGGTTGGATGGAGGCATCATATATACAGTAGTAAAACTTTTTTCAAGCGAAAAATGTATCGTGTTCTTAGGCTGCAGGGACGAACTCAACATATTCAAATCAAACATAATTTGTTTTGCAAAAGACGTATTCTTGTATAAGCGTTTTGATCATGTTTCCATTTCATTTATACAATATAAAGAACCACTTCATTTTAGTCTTTTCAAGAAAGGTTCACGGCTTACTATAGTACAGTATACATATACTGTATTCAGAACAGCACACACGGGGTATATATGCCTTTTGCCTTCTGGGCTCGAATTTTGAAAAGGAAATTGCTCCTGTGTGTTGGCCAGCAGTTATCCTCCTTTGACATTTAATCAATATTTCTAAAATGAATTAACACATGCAGTGTATACAGTTAACTTCTAATTTATTAGTGCCACCATCCATCCCAGCAGGACATTTTTTGGCACTATATATACTGTATAAGCAAGGGTGGCAAACTGGCAATAAATCAAGGGTATAGTGAAAAAACTTCGGGTATAATGTGTAATAATAATAGGGAAAAGGATGCTCGAGATATTTCTGTGCCAGTGATTTCAATAAATAAATATGTCAGCAATACAAACTGAATAAATGTATAGCTATATCTGTGCCCTATTTTGACATGCATTTTATTAATAATAAATCATATATTATCTTTTGCAACCTTCCGCTGAGATATAGACAAATTCTCTGTCTGCTAGCTAGATGTGCTGTGTGACCACCATGCACATATATGTAGCATATGTCGTCTAAACTCTATATCATGCTGCTCATCCAGTATAGTGCTGCATGATAAAAAGAATGGTATTATACAGTATAATGTATGTTCATTGTGGAAGAATACCATGGACTGGCTTGCCCAAGATGCGAAACAATAATAATTAATGTGAACCAACAAATGGCACCATCATGCAGGTTTTTCATAAAAATACTACTATTTTATATAATCCAAATTTTACATATCAGGGATGGAATCATTTCTTTGCTAACAAGCAGTTTCGATTGTCAACGTAAAATGTTTCTCAGTACTGAATTTTTAAAATCTTTGAAATTTCCTGGATCAGAGAGTACAGAAACAGATAATATTTTGAGTGAAAATCCATAGAACTGAGTTTGAAATTACTACTTTATATCTTGAATGCGTGAAAACCCATCTCTCGCTAACATTGGTAGCGTGGCCGAGTGGTCTAAGGCGCTGGTTTTAGGCACCAGTCTCTCCGGGGGCGTGGGTTCGAATCCCACCGCTGCCAGGTTTTTGCGTGATTTTTATTATCACTTTTGAATGTTTCCACCCACTATAACTCTCCATCACGGCAGCTCTATCTAAGTTGAAGGATATAACTTCCTCACAAATGTCTACTGTTTGCTGACACAATGCTTCATATTGTAATCAATCTTTCATTTATATGTACAGTACATACAATATATATATATAATGCTGGCTGAGCCTTTTAAAATAATGTACACTAGTATCGCATACTACTGGTGCTCATTTGGGATATACATGTGAAAAAGAAACACTCTGGGGCACAGCAAGGGTCACTACTGTATGTTGAATTCCGTGTGTACAGTACAGTATATTGCCTGCATATCCCCAGTGTGCACCATTGGGAGGTTACTGAAGTACATGGTGTCAGGGCAAACTCTGCAAAATTATTATTAGGTGTTGTTGATGCCGGAATGACTGAAGCTTCAAGCTGTGTATTAAACATGCTGGCGATAAATTTGAATTGGGCTCATTATGTTGGTAGAACTGTCTGTGCACCACGTCTGCTTCATGTATTCTTCGTGTTCACCTGTGACTGATGCATTGAGTGAACATGCATCCTTCAGCGTATCACAACTTCGGTAACAACTGTGACGAATACGTGCCTGGACCTGAAAGCACAAGCGAGGCAAGGTTAGGCGCGGATCTTTATAAGTCCAATCAATGAGAGGTGAATACCGTGAGCGACCATGAGAGGTACTGAGGTGCATTCTTACATTTGACCCCGTAGTTGAAAGATGAGAGGCATCAAGCCTACGTATAACTTATTTTCGAGTACCTCGGGACTGAAAGAATGCGTGAGTTCGACAATGCGTGAAGAATGACTTGCAAGAAGGATCGAAAGAAAAGTACCGAAAGGGGGAGCGGTCTCTTCCATGCAGGATTTGAATAGATTTACAGTTAATTTTCAACCGTGCAGGGTATACTGTGGCGCATTCAATCATGTCCTGATCAAGGGTTTTAGACTTTTTTCATTCCCTGCGATAATTCTTCCTTTCTCGGAATTTCATACGGAGTGCCATCCTAATTTTAAGGGGACAAAATACTATGAAGTTACTTGAAGTTCTGACCTATTTTTCAGAAATTCTTCCGCAAAAAAGTGTGAATTTCCCGTTCCGTTGGTCTTAAGCTGTGATTCTTCGCTATGTTGATCCGAGATCGGTTGGGTTCGTTACGTGCGCGCTGTGGAAACCAAGAGGATATCAATGGGCGAAGGAGTTCATTGCCTCGTGACCGAGCATTATGGAATTTCCTCAGACAGGTTATTCTCGATCTCTGCTTTCCGAAGATCGCTTTTTGTTTTCATTTTGTTGCAATTGCGTGTGTGGGTTCTGAAATGTCTGCACTGTTCAGGTGGACTGTGTTCGTGCAGCTGTGCGGGATTTGGAACTGGCGTTGCTTGTATTGCAGAGATTGAATAACAAGGCTTTAGCAACTCCACTGGATGCGACTCAAATTCAGGAACAGCGTAACAAAGCAGTAGCTGAAGTAAAGCTCAGGGCATTGAATGCCAAGGGACAACTTGCCCAACTAACGAGCTGTGAGTCGGGCCCCAACCGTCTTCGCCGTTTCTTGATCGCAGCAGAAGGGAGGCGTCTGAAGCTTGCCATCAGGGCGTGTCATGAGGAAGATGAAGCCTTTGTGAATCGTTGTAAGGCAAGGCTGAGACACCAATATTTGCACGGTCAGTTTTTGAGCGACTTCTTCGGTTTTTTGAATTTAAAATTTTCTTGCGAACGTTTTTTCCCGCAGATATGTACTGAATCGTAGTCTTCGCCTTCTTTAATTCCTCTTTCATTTTCCTCCCCTTCAAATATCTTTTTGGTCCTATTTACTCGATAGGCCGAATCCTCTGAGCTGAACTTCTAAAGTCGGTCCGAGTGGCAGCTTAATGACCCAATTTTTGCATTGCGTATGTGGAGGACGAATTACTTCCGCAATGGGTACCGCGTACATGTGGACTGCAGTAACCTAGAATTCTAGGCGATCTCATCGGAAAATCAAGAGAACTACTCGAGTTGCAGTGCTCTTTTGGTACTCTTTTACCATCAAAATTGCTTTTTAAAAGTTCTGAAAAAAACTGGACAATCAGGAAAATGTAAAATCTAAATAGAGCATCAGTATGTTTTAAGTGGGTAAAGGCCTGTATGATGATGAAGAGTGAAGACGTGAAAGGAATCACTTATTAGGCTATAGAAGAGGAATGATGTGTTAGTAAATTGTGGCTAATTTACAGTGAGACCCCAAGATGCGGATGTAATTGGTGCATCAAGAGTGTCCCTAAGTCGAGTCTCATTTTCCCTTAGACTTACATAGTATAATTTTTAATTGGTGTTTTAAAGACAAAATACTCAAAATAATTCCATGAAAATAAAAATTGTCTCCCAATTTAAACTGATCCCAATCAATACACTTCAACACAATATGGGCATTTGGGCAATTGAATTCTGATACCTCTGTAGAGTACCTAGAAATGTTGGCATTCTCTGTGAAAAATAACATCCAATGACAAAGAGAGAAGGAAGTCCCTCTATGCTGGAGGTAATTTTTTTTAATTATCTAAATGGATGGTAAATTTGTGAGAAAAATGCCCAAGAAACTTTCTTACATAAATTTTAGGGTGGAAATATCTGTTTATTGTAATTTGGCCTGAAATGTTTTTGCAATTTTATCACAAAATGTCCCTATGTTGAGTCAGTGTCCTCATGTCAGGCCTTTTTTTTACATTTTTCATTAGAAAATAAGTGTCTCTATGTAAAATTATCCAAAGGTTGAGGTGTCCGTATGTGGGGGTTTCATTTCTAAAAGTGTGAATTGAACCAGTGCCATGAAAGTTTCCCCTCTCATATTGAATGTGGGGTAAAACGGGAAGAACCAAAAAGTTTTGCATGCGTTTGGCACCCTGAAAGATGCGTTTGTATGCTTGCATATCCGTCTCATTATTGGTTCAATCTCTATTTCATTATTTCAGTTGGCAGGGAGCGGACAGATGAAGAGTTGGAGGAAATCATTTCTGCAGGGCTGAACAGTGCGTGTGCATACACCGAAAAAGTTAGCGCAAGAGATGTTTTAATGTGAAACTCCTGGGATATAAGCAACGGCTTTGCTGTAGGGGGAAACGTTCGAATGTTTGTCTCTTGATGAAAAGGACGAAACAGAAAATCTGGAACATTTTGTACGGCTGGAGCAGCAGTTGACAGAATTAAATGATATTTTCCTCGACATGGCGGCAACCGTGGAACTTCAGGTTTGTTGAGTGATCTTTTGACGATATGCACGTTTTCTTATGTTGTAGCTGCATGCCTCGTTGCGATTGTGATTCTCTGTGTCCGTGTAGGGGAATATGGTGAAGGACATCGAAACCCATGTGCATGCAGCTGAGGATGCAACCAACTCGGGCGTTAGGCGGATGCAGCGTGCTGAGCATGATTTACTATCGCGGCGCTGTAAGGTATACCTTGCACCACACGAATAATTCGATTATTTTACTGCCCGGGTGGGGAGGTATTCTCTCTGTAGTCACAGAACTGGGGTCACAGATGGTGCATATACAGGATACTCCGGGGTTACAAGTGTGCACTGGTGTAGGTAGAAGTTTGCTGGCATTATTCCGGGGTTGCATTTGGTGCACAGGGTTGAGTTAGGTATATTTTCTGTGTGCTTTTGGTGCCTATCTGCAGGGTTGCAGATATGCCCGAAGTGTTAACACATAACTGGTGCACAGCAGCGTTTCCTGTGTGATTACATGTGTAGCTAATTTGTGCAACAACTTCCACACTGTATCTTCTGTGAAGCAGTGTAGTGGATGCATAACGAGTATTCAAGTTGTTGCTTAGAAGCTGCATTGTCTTGCATTTGTTTTCCTTTCTAAGTTTTTCTTCGTGTATCTTTCTTGGGATTTGGTTTATGCAGTTGTGTGCTATGATTGTGTGTCTGGTGGTTTTGCTGGTAGCCGTGTTGGTGTTGACCGTATTGGGGTTGCAGTAGCAGCTGAGCTAGTTCGTGAAAGTTGGATTAGTAGGTAGATATTAAAGTGTGACGTTTTTGGTGTTCCGATGGTCCTGATGTGTTCCTCACACATGACCTCCTATTGCGATTTTGTTTCGTGTTTCAGAAAGCCAATGCGAGTGTGAGCTGTGCTTTGTGGAAGCGTTCCTTCCTGGGCCCCTTCCCCGAAACCCTTCCCTCCTTCACTCATTCGTCAGTCGTGGTGGTGGCTCCTTAATATGTTTTTGGGTAACAGGAGAAGGATTTGCTGTGTTTATCTCTACCACTTTCATTCCTTTTCCTCTTCATCTGCATTTCCTGACTGGTGTCCCTTTGCATTAGCGAATCCGTGCATAAACACATACATCTGTGTATATTATTATTGTATGTGCGTATATTTTAAAACATGCTTTTCAGTGAAGGGAGATGGTTTTTTTTTTTTTTTGCAGAAATCTGTGACGATTAGTCGTGAGAATGATTGAAAAGTAACTAATTTTGTTCCGGGTTTTTCAGGAGGGAATTGCGGCGACAACTGCAACATCCTCTGCCAGAATCGTCATCCTGGCTGGTGTTCCTATTGTTTTCTTTTAACTGGCACTGGTTTGAGTTGCGTGTTGGTTGACAGTGTACAGTAATGGCCTGCGTTGGGAACGCGAGATATGGTGTTCTGGTGCATAGTAACATCATTGCCATCGGGCCGGTCCGAAGATGAATTGTTGATCGGATTTCACTTGTTCTGCGTCAAGAATAAACAGTACAGAGGAATAAAAAACAAGATCTGATTGTGCGAAACTGCGAGTGGAACCATGACGAAGGATAGATTGGCGGCTTTGATAGCTGTGAGTTGACGAGTTCATTTGTGTTGAACTTCCCGTGACTGGTTTCTGTTTGTTGATCGTTTCATGTCATCCCATTATATCATGTCCCGAGCAGGCCCAGGGCGATGATGATGATGAGGCTGAGCCGTTTGCCGTGGAAATCCCGGAAGGATACATGAGCGAGTTCTTCCAGGAGGTTGAAGAGGTGCGAGAGCAGGTGGAAGGGATACAGGAAAAAGTTGATCGCATCAAGAAGATTCACTCCGATCTCCTTACTTCGCCTTTCGAAGCAGAAAGTGGGCTCAAACTTTGATATTTTGTTTTTTTGTTTTTTCCTTTTTTTGACCATCCTTATCTCTAGTTACGTTTGATGTTAGACTGTATGGCATGTAAGAGCTGCTGACTTCTACGCTTTCAGCTTTAATATGTTAAGGAATGAATCGCATTTTGCGGGGGTACCCAGGATTTTATTGAATGCATGCTGATCATTATTCTGTTGTTGTTTTGGTTGTTCCATGTTAAGAAACTTCAATTTCAACAAATACCGTGCATTTATTTTCTTTCTGAAATGAAAAGCTTTATGGTTTCCTGCTTTAGAAAATTCTTTCACATTTTCGGAAGTTCAACCATGTACAATACGATGCAAGGTATTGCAATTTTGGTAATTGATAAATATGCCAAAAAGGGGAAAAGTATCCATGGAAACTGAGTCCGCTTTTGCAGAATACGGGAAAAAGGGATTTTTCAGTGTGTACGCTGGATTTGAATTGAAGTTCGGTAACTGCAGTCCGGTACATTTTGCTGTTGAGGATCAGAAGAATGATTTTCATTCACTGGTGAAACATGAGGAAGCGCTACGAGTCTAGAAGTGATTTTATCTTCCGAGTTTTGTAAGGTTTGCTGAAACATCTGCTCTTTCAATCATGAAGTGAGGTTTTTCCGTTTTTATTCCATGCATGGCTTTGAATCCTCTTTTGGCAGAGTTACAGATGCTCTCGATGTGTAGTACTGTACATCAAAACTGGTGTTATGATCCATTAACTTATGCGTGTGAATTACTGTTTCATGATGAGAACGTATGACGGGAGGAAGTGGTACGTGTGGTTCTGTTGCGTGTCTCAACCTTCATTTATCCCATCAGCAGGATCCAAGTATTGTGGAAAATCATGTTCAAGCTTCGATAAACGTGCAACAGTTCCGACCACGTTACAAAAACAATGAAAATTGAATGTCGCACTTTTTTCTCCTGAGACGGGGAGAACCGGCCCTTGCATTTCTAGTGTCCTTATTTGCCAGCCTATTTCATTCAATTTGATTTAGAATCTAATGTATTGAAACTTCGAATGCCCTGGAAAAGTGAGCAGTTTTTAGAAAACCTATCTTGGCACACCCAGAAAAAAAAAACCAATTAGCACACATACAGTACTTTTTTACTCATCACCGTTGCATGTCTGTGCAAGTAATTGTATTGATTGATGCCGTCTGGAGGATGGTTGTTCGATCCCAATTGAAAAAGTGGAGTTTTCTCGAGGCAAGCTCCTGAATCTTCTTCTATGCTGATATCTTGAGTGGCACGAGTTGGATGTGCTCCATGTGGTTGAGTTGGTGCTGAAAATTCCTGTTCTACCCCAGAGAAACGTGCTGAACGGGAGGACATTATGCAGGAAATCAAGCGCACCTGCAACAAGATTCGAATGAAGTTGAAAGCCATAGAGCGGAAGATTGAAGATGACGAGCGGGTGGACAACGGCTCTGCGGATTTGCGGATCAAAAAATCTCAGCATTCCATGTTGTTCCGTAAGTTCGTGGACGTCATGAATGACTACAACGCGGCTCTCAATGATTACTCTGACCGGGCGAAGAAGCGGTTGAAGGACCAATTGAATGACAGTGCGTTGTATAAAATTTAGAGCGCGGTTTTCTAACATATTAATGATACCATTATTACGCCGTGACAGCTGGGAAGGAGGTGACGGATGAAGAAGTGGATAAGCTCATACACAACGGTACCACGTCTGGTTATAACAGTGATGTGAGATTCGGCATTAGCCTCCCATTCTGCTGAGATGTGCTGCATGAACATATTTTTTATGTAGATCATCGTGGATGCGAAGATAAACAAAGAGATGCTGCAGGAGATCGAATCGCGTCATGAGGATCTGATGAGGCTCGAGACCTCCATCCGAGAACTTCACGACATGTTCATGGACATGGCGATGCTCATTGAGAATCAGGGAGAGATGATCGATCGAATCGAATACCATGTGGAACATGCGAAGGATTATGTTGCGCGTGCCACAGAGGATATGCGTAAAGCCAAAGCCTACCAGGATAAAGCCCGCAAAGTGAGCTTTTCCCATCCAATTCTTCTGATTTCGCTGGGGCACTGAGATACTGTAATGTACGTATTTACTTCTTGCGTTTGACAGAAAAAGCTGATGATGCTGGCATGCGGCGTTGTGGTCGGTTCCGTCTTGATATTCTCCTTGCTGGGAACCTTCGGGTTATAGCTCAGGTTCGAAGATGATACCGGGTTTGGGGTTGTTGAATCTTTTCTCCATGATCAATCTTTTCCCTCATTTCCTATAGATTGATCTTCGTGGCATGCTGCCTGGGGTCCGTAGGTAGACCTGTGGATGCGCTTACTCCGTGCTGCAGATGCTGTAATATTCACGCCGCTGTTTTCCTCCTCTCCGTTGTTAAGCCTATGTTATTGCGTGCTCACTGTCTGTTGCAATGATGAAGCTGACGTTGTTGTCCATCAGTGATTATGTGTTTTCAGCGTTCCTCGTTTTCATGACGGGTGTATTGTCTCGACAGTGCTGTAGGGAGCACCGCACTTGTGTTCTCTGTTTTGACTTAGAGCCGTCCGGGAGACGTGAATCCACACGAAGTCCAGGGGGAGTAATGGGAAAGTTTCTTGTGTTGGTTGAATCGAGGAGTCAAGGGTAAAGTGGATCTGGTTACTGTTTCTGTGATGATTGCCTTTGTTCGTGTCTAATTCATTTTGTGTTCATTCGTCGGTGCATTCAGCGAGCAGAAGCAGAGCTTTATATCTTGTTTGCTTTTCCCAAAAATGCAATAATCCCTGATGTGGGAGATTGGGTGTTCCTCAACTGTTGCACCCTACAAAAGATTTGCTGATATCAGACTGGTGTTATCTGATGAACTTCCTCAGATTCTGCATTGTGATGTGGATCTCTTTGAACAGAAACGCACAAAAATCAATGCCAGGTGTTCAAATATATTTAAAGTCAATCCTGATTGAGAAAATGCGTCCGTTCTCAGGGTGATTTTATCCCTCATTTTGTGCCATTAATCTACTCGTGTCAGATCTTTTTGTTGCGTGGTCAATGATGGCGTGTTATTAAGTGGAAGTGCATGCATCTGCATGGTGCCATTGCGAATTGAAGTATGGGCTGTCTCATCAGCGCTGGTTTAAATCATCTTGCATCATGCAAATATCAAAATTCATGTTACCAAATTTTCTCATTACTGTATTTGATCTTCAATCACTTCGGTGGGTTATCGAGTTGAATCATCCATTTTTCAACTTTGAAAAGGCATGATGTATGATTTCGGGGATGAGATTTTACCGAAAAGGAGAGAATGGTTTTGTTAATATGCGCCAATTTTTGGGTGGATGATCTGCAAAGAGGAGAGACTGAGTCGTATGAGCGAGTTTTTCCTCATTCCTTCCACGCAGTCAATGATGAATCAAGCAATTGATGAGTGAAGTTGAAATGCACCTGATCACGTCATGGACATATATTATGCTTTGTCTTTTATTCATGGTGTATGCCAGACGGCCATATTCCAAGAAATTGCATGATGCAAACATATAAAGCAATCAGCAGCAGCAAAGATATATACAGTGTATTGCTTGCCTTTAGTTAGAATTCCAGATATATATGTACAGGTGCTGGACTCTCTCTATAAATACAATGATCTTGTCTGATTTTCTTTGTACAGTTAAACTTATTTTGTCATTTATTACGTTCTCATCATGTGTTTTATAGGGATTATTTACCTTTTTCTGATCCATTGAAAAAAGTTATAGACAAGAGAGTATTTCGTCCACCTGTATATAGAGGCAGCATTTTTTATTCATTGTTCAACTTTGAAAGTAAAAAGACAAATATTTAGCATTTGGCCCATATATAAGTCTTCGGTTCTTCATAAAAAATTCTAAGAAAAGGCTGAACAACTTTCTTCGTATCGTATCGTATTTTCACTTATGCATTATTGAATTTATCCAGCACAAATGGCAGTTTAGCAAGATATTTATGTAATTCAATGGTATTGCTTAATCTCTTATGATATTTAAATTGATGAATGTCAGAACTTTGAGAGGCCCCATCCAGGAAGATCAATTAAATAAGATATATGTCCTTATACTTGAGGCAATCCTGCTGACTATCCATCTTCGTTTATGCTCCTTGAAAAAGTTCAATGAACCAGCCAGCAGTCGCCACAGAGCCACATTTTTTCTAGTTTTCAGAAGTGTAATGGAAGATGTTAGAACTTGCCATGAAATCATATTGTGCCAATGGAGTTAGATGCTGCTGCTCAGGCTGTTGATGTGATGAACCAATATGAGATCGAGATATATGACGTAACGGGAAAGGGGTATAAAAAACAGCACATCAGGAAATCATCTTATGAAGGATGGCTGATATTTTATTCTAAGGATTAAAAGAGGGGAGCATTTTTGCCTGTTCTCTTCCGAAAGGGCCCCACGCATACGTGCTGACTTTCAAAAATTTTTTCTTGAAATTTGTAAGTGATGTGGTTCATTTCAGTAAGAGTATATAGGGCCTGATTGGCCAAGCTTAGTTCCCTTCTCGTCGTCCCGCACCAATATAAAACCTCTGCATTTATATGATGCATGCCATGCATGCTGATGATGCTGCAGTTATTGCAGACATGTGTAAAACTCAAAACTAGCTGGTGCCAATAAATATTTGCGCAGAATCGATCTTTGCCGTGGTGGAAGTTTAAATTGAATGCTGTGAAAACATGACGCGGAGAATGGATGAATAAGGGAAGGTTTGACATCAAAAGAAACAACTTATTATTAATAAAGATAATAATAAGTTATTAACTATTACGACGAAATTTCGAACCACCGTAACTTCATAACAAACCGCGCTGAGAATCGAGAAAATGCTGATGGTTCTCACCTCGGTCATAAATGCAGTATTGCGTGGATTATCATCAGCTTGCACTCTCGTAGCCCAAGCTTGCGCGCGTACCACACAGAGTCCCTTATATTATATTAAACAAGAGGGTTACTGTATTGAGCGATGACGACGATAGAGTGAGAACAAAAACTAATGTGATGACTGGCCAGTCCAACGTATTTTTTTGGCCGATTTTACTAAAACTTTAGCTGCTAATGTGCAAATGCAGTACAGTGTATATTTTCTTTTCCTTGAAAAAGCTTTGAACTAAATAATAAGGATGAGCATATTTATATACGATGCGACGAAAAGCATTCTATAATGTCGATGATGAGATGCGAACGACATACGCGGCACCGAATAAGTTCCGATCCTGAGAATTTAAATTTGTTTTCGATTTTATCAGCAGGAGTAAGCGCAGTATGCAGTTGAACAAAACAAAATTGCGAGCGTGTCACAGACACCCAAGATACTGATGATAATGTTACGCGCGTATGTAATTCACGGTTATATATATACTTCTTGTAAATGAGTCCATGCTGCTGACAATATAATCAGGTGAAGATAGAATTGGACCGATTAGATTGGACCGATCTGTGCTGACCGAGGGAAAACCGATACCCGCCTATATACGTAATGCATCAACCATAGCAGTCCAAGACGGTCGAGGAATCTTATTGCAGTCAACAGTAGAATGATGACTATATATACTGCATATCCAACAAACGTCGTTCAGCGTACGCTACGGAACATGTCGTCCTCGAATTACGCAGGTGCATAAGCCCAGCTTACGATCTTCTAATGCTAGACAAAATGCACTTCGGCTGACGCCCGGCGTTCCACAGTTCGTCGTTTAAACTTATTCTACAGAAAACGGTGATTATGTTTGAGCATGCGCAGCGTATACAAATTATGTACTGCAATATGTTAAGATATGTTGTGCATACATTTGAAGAAAATCTTACTAATACGAGGATGAGACACAGCACATGTTGCGCGCGTTCGATTATATTTTATTCGATCGGCATTTCGGAAAAAAATTTACCCCAAGCAATAACTGCCGGCTTTTTCCGCCCAGATGGGGGTGTAAATAATGAGTCATGGTTATTTCAGAGTATTAAAATCATGCAATAAATAAAGTAAAAATCTGACGAATATGTTCATGACATGTGTCCTTATAGCGCACGTAACTACAAGTGGAGTCTCGAGGAAATACGGAAATAAATAGCGGGAGTTTCTTCAACAAAGTTTCCAAATCAATGTCCCATTTTATTTTTCTATCATATCATCAACTAGCAGTTAATGTACATGCGTAATTATATACGGATGAGTAACAAAATACATCTGCTGGTGAATTGAATGAAAATGACCTGAAGGCATTTTTAAAAGTATGAATCGGTTGCATACTCGTATATGATGGAGTGGCTATAAACTCAATTCAGATTGCTCAATTATTTTAAAATTGCATGAAGCTCATTATTAGAAATTACATGTACAGTATGCTGAAGCATAATACGGCGATAAGAATACCATGGATTACAGAAATAAAAAAATAACTGTTCGTATATATATATGTTTGTACTGTATCCTATAAACATTAATATATTTCTCCCTTTAACACTCTTATTCTGCCATTGGCACTTGATGGCTGTAAAAAAATCCCCAAGTTTATTCCTTTGGTCCGTTTATTTGGGTCAAATAACATGATGAGATTCTATGATGGGACTGCAGAATATGTCTTGAATTAAACAGCAATAAGTCTTGCTGGTTGGATGGACCAAGATGCTGCATGACTTAAATCTATATAAAAACGTTTTCGAATAAAAACTCCAGATAATATTGAAATATTTTATTAGTCAAGATTTACCTGAACCTGAATAACTAATAATTTACCGGAATTATAATTATTCCGATTAATTGTGCTTGCTTCCTTTGCCTATGTACGTCGCTCTGTCATTAATTCATTTGGAGAATATATGTTGTTAATACTGTACCTTCACAGATAATACCGCATACATCTAAGTAGGAGTGTGTTGCAAGCTTGTAAAACATACCTGGGTTGTCCCATTTCAGATTGATCTTGTGTAATTCTAGACTAGGTACTACTTTGAAAAAATCTACCATTTAGCTCATCTAACTTAGAGGCTCTTGGATTTTATTTCAGATTTTTTTTTAAATTTTTTAGATTTATTGCAAGACAGTAAGTGAAAACTTTTCAGTTTTGGCAATCATTTTCTATCCATCTCAGAAGCTGTTGAAAAATTGTCATTCTAGAAAAATGTGAAAATATTTTTTGGTTTTTGAACAATGTTTTCAACATTTCTGTAATTTTTCAATTATTATTTTGTTTGTTGGAAAAATGCAAAATTGACTTCGTTTTTTATTTGTGGCAAAAAAATGATCATTGAAAATTTTTGAAAAATGTAGAAAATATTGTTCTAAAAATAAAATATCAATTTTTTGTCCAGAATGAAAAATTATTTAAGAGCTTGTGACATACAGTAGATGGAAAATGCTTGCAAAAACTGGAAATTTTTAACTTATTGTCTTGCAGTAAATCTAAAAACTTTCAAAAAAATCTGAAAAAATCCCAGAACCTAAAATTTGAATGAGCTGAATGATAAGATTTTTTTCAAAGCGGTACCTAGTCTAGAAATACTCAAGGTCAATATCAGAAATGGGACAACCCTCTATATACTGTACTGCACAGGATACTGCCTTTTTTAAGGTATGCCATACAGTCTGATCAACACTCACAATCCCAGTGCTGAGCAAGATCAAATTCCAAGTAGAATACTGCAATTGAATATCTCCCAAACCTCATACAAATTTTGAAAATTTTAAAAAAGTCTATAAATTTCATCTACACATTTGTTAATAAGTTGCGTAACTGCGTGTAGACCCAGCATATGTTCACATCACTCACAAGCTCATTTTTGTGAATTTGCATGGATTTCTTGTCTGCAGAGCCTCGCACGTGAATGTACAGTATTTGCTTGAAAAGGTGTGTCTAGGGTTGTTAATCACAATCAAAAATTCAACTGCACAATCGAAATCGCAATTTCTTAGAAACAGTTTTGCACAATCAACATCAAAATTCCTGCCCCACTGTCAAGTTGTGGCGAAATCAAAATCGCAATGGAATTTCCAGTTTTTTCCACTTTCAAAATCGCAAGTTTTAGCACAATTTTACAATTTCATCTTGAAGAATTTTAATTCAATTTTACTCATATTTTTTCAGTGCTATTGTAACACTTGCAGCATGAAAATCTGGTAGAATTTTCATTGTTACCTTCAGAAAATTTTGGAAAATTAATCCTGGAGTAGAGGAGAAGAATTAAGAACTTTCTTTCAAATTCCAATATCCCCAAAATGTTTATGTCCAGTAAATTTTTTCAGTGAACACTCCAAATAAAAATTGATTTGTACTTCCATGTACACCAAGATTATCCCTGCAACAAGCATATAGAGTCAATAACCCTGAATTTAGTGACAACACTACATGACGTAGTGCCAACAATTTCCTTGGGTCAAACCTCCCTCTATTGTGTTTTTAAGAGAAACCCTGACTGCCACAGAAATTACTCT